AGAAATGAATGGAGAGGGAGAGAGAGATGGAAACATTCATGATGAGAGAGAATCATGGATCAGCTGCCTCCTGCATGCCCCCTACTGGGGATTGAGCCCACAACCCAGGCATGTGCCCTTGACTGGAATCAAACCCTGGCAAAAGATGAATTTAAAGCGGAAAAGGTGAAGTTACTTTGCAAAAGATGAAGTTTCCCCTAGGTGATTTGGCTCAGTGAATAGAGCATTGGACTGCATACTGAAGTGTCCCAGGTTTGATTCTGGGCAAGGGCACATGCCTGGGTTGGAGGCTTGATCCTCAGCTGTGGGTTTGCAGGAGGCAGCCAATCCATGATTGTCTCTCATCATGGATGTTTCTTTCTCTCTCTCCTTCTCCGAAATCAATAAAAAATATTTTTAAAAAAACTTTTTAAAAAAGATGATTTTGCTTTACAAAAGGTGAATTTTGTCTGCTTGAATTTCAGCAGCATGAAAATGAGTCACTCCTTCCAGGATCTTGGTAAATTTCAATAGTGCTTCATATTTTTTGAAGTTACTTGTGTGACATTAGGTTATTATTACTAAGTACTTTTTTCTCCTAGTACATTAGTTGTAAACACATTTTTTTTTCTGAACATAAGATTCTAGTTAATAGTTTGGTGTTGAAACACAGTGGTTTCAAAACGTGTTCTTGTAACTCAAAGGGTTCTGCTTGATCCCTGTGTCCGTCTCTTTTAGAATGAAAGATAAAATAAACTGTAGAAGTGTGTTAAGACCAAACATCCTGCTGTCAGTCAATTCCTGCGCAAAAATAATCCTCTGCTGCCCTCCTGTGGCCATTTAAAGAATAGCACATTGTGCCTCTGACCATGGTGCTGAAATCGAAGCTAAGGCCCTGAAAACACAACCAATTATTCTACCCAAAAAAAAAAAAAAAAGAAAGAAAAACCCACAAAATCATCGAGGCTGTCCATGGTGGCAATCATTCCGTCCCTGAATGGACCGAAGTCAGGGCTCCTGGGTCTGCACCTCTTCCCACCCCAGCTTTGCAAAGGGAGGCCCTGGAGACTGCTGCACTGAGGTTCCCTTTATGGTGACCCACCACCCTGCCTAGTATGTTCCTTGATTGCTCTTTTAACTAGAGAGTAGTGAGTGTATGTTTGGCAAGCCGATGCTCTAACCAGTGAGCAACACCAGCTACGTATTCTATTCACTCTTTTTTAAATATATATTTTATTGATTTTTTTACAGAGAGGAAGGGAGAGGGATAGAGAGTTAGAAACATCGATGAGAGAGAAACATGGATCAGCCGCCTCCTGCACACTCCCTGCTAGGGATGTGCCCACACCCAGGTACATGCCCTTGACCGGAATCGAACCTGGGACCCTTCAGTCCGCAGGCCAATGCTCTACCCACTGAGCCAAACCGGCTAAGGCTCTATTCACTCTTAAAAATCTAAATCGGAGTGTGGGTCAAGGGTCAGAGGTCAAGGCTGGGGCTGAGGCTAGCAAAAGATGAATTTGGGTTGCAAAATGTGAATTTGTCTGATAGTATTTCAGAAGCATCCAAATGAGTCGTCCTTTTCAGGATTCTAGTAAATTCCAATATTGCTTCCTATTTTTTCAAGTTACTTCAGTGACATTAAGGTCATTATTACTGAGTATTTTCTTCACCTAGTGAACTAGTTGTAAACACACTTTTTTCTGCATAAAAAATTCTGGTTAATAGTTTGGTGCCTTAGCACAGTGGTTTTGAAACGTGTTCTTGTAACTTGATACCTATGCCTGTCTCTTTCAGAATGAAAGATGAAATAGTCCTGTAGAAATGTGCTAAGCACAAGGATTCCTTATTTTGCGATTTATCAGAATGTAATCCTAGAGAAGACTTGTACTCTTGTTTTATAGGGTAAACGGTTTTATTTCTCCTTCAATTAAGTTACTGCTTATACTGTACACGTCTATGCATGTATGTACTTATGACAGAAACCTCAAAGGATGCTGTTAGCCAATTTCTGTGCAAAAAACGATCCTCTGCTGCCCTCTTGTGGCCGTTCAAGGAATAACACCTTGTGCTTCTGTCCGTGGTGCTGAAATCCCAGCTAATGTCCTGTGAACAGGAGGGAAAAATTATACCCAGAAAAAAAAAAAACACAAAAAAAACCACACAGAAAATCATCGAGACTCTACAGGGCTGAAATAATTCTGTCCCTGGATGGACTGAAGTCACGGGTCTGGCTTTTGCACCTCTTCCCGCCCCAGCCCTGCAAAGGGAGGCCTTGGCTGCTGCACTGACATAGTGAACCTGTGCGTTCCAGCTGTCATTCAGAAACGTAGAGACTGCCATTATTGAGACACCCAGTACCTTGTAGGCCGCCATTTTTGATGCAGCCAGTAACCTAGATTCCGCTATGATTGCGGCATTCCGTACCATGGAGGCCGCCATTACTAAGTCAGCCAATGCCCTGGGTGCCGCCATTCTTGAAGCAGGCAGTCCGTACAGCGAGGTGTGAAGCATCGCGAGACCCAGCGACCTAGCGAGAGTCGGCCATTACTGAGGCATTCGGTACCCTGGAGTTCGCCATTACTGAGTCCATCCGTACAGCGTTGTCTCCGCGATTGAGCTTGCCCGTAGGGGGCAGGTGGCGTCTACTGAGGCAGCCAGCAGGCTGCAGCAGCAGCATATACTGAGGCAGCAAGTTCGCTGTAGGTTGCCGCCCGTGTGACCTGGAGTCCGCTATGAGTGCGGCATTCCGTACAGTGGTGGCCACCATTAGTGAGACAAGCTGCGTCCGGAAGCCGCCATTCGTGAGGCAGGAAGTCCGTACAGCGAGGGTGTAAAGTTCCGCGAGACCAGGCGACCTCGCGAGAGTGCGCCGCTACGTAGGCGCCGCGTACGCTGGAGTCCGCCATGACTGAGTCCATCCGTACAGCGGTGCCTCCGGGACCGAGGCGGCCGTTCGGGGCAGGTGGCGTTTATTGAGACAGCCTGCAGGCTGCAGCTGCTTATACTGAGGCAGCGAGTTCGCTGTAGGCCGCCGTCCATGTGACCTGGAGTCCGCTTTGAGTGCGACATTCCGTACGGTGGCGGCCGCCATTAGTGAGGCAGAAATTCCGTACAGCGAGGGTGTAAAGTTCCGCGAGACCAGGTGACCTCGCGAGAGTGCGCCGCTACGTAGGCGCCGCGTACGCCGGAGTCCGCCATGACTGAGTCCGTCCGTACAGCGGTGCCTCCGGGACCGAGGCGGCCCGTACGGGGCAGGTGGCGTTTTCTGAGGCAGCCAGCAGGCTGCAGTGGTGTATACTGAGGCAGCGAGTTCACTGTAGGCCACCGTCCGTGTGACCTGGAGTCCACTTTGAGTGCGACATTCTTTATGGTGGCGGCCGCCATTATTGAGGCAGGAAGTCCGTACAGCGAGGGTGTAAAGTTCCGCGAGACCAGGTGACCTCGCGAGAGTGCGCATTTACGTAGGCGCTGCGTACGTTGGAGTCCGCCATTACTGAGTCCGTCCGTACAGCAATGTCTTTGGGACTGAGGCGGCCCGTATGGGGCAGGTGGCATTTACTGAGACAGCCTACAGGCTGCAGTGGCGTATACTGAGGCAGAGAGTTTGCTGTAGGCTGCCATCCGTGTGACCTGGAGTCCGCTATAAGTGCGGTATTCCGTTCAGTGGCGGCCGCCATTCGTGAGGCAGGAAGTCCGTACAGCGAGGGTGTAAAGTACCGCGAATCCAGGCGACGTCTCGAGAGTGCGCCACTACGTAGGTGCAGCATACGTTGGAGTCCGCCAGTACAGAGTCCTTCCGTACGGCAGTGCCTCTGGGACCGAGGCGGCCCGTACAAGGCAGGTGGCGTTTTCTGAGGCAGCCACCAGGCTGTAGCGGCGTATAATGAGGCAGCGAGTTCGCTGTAGGCTGCCGTTCGTGTGACTTGGAGTCCGCTTTGAGTGCGACATTCCGTACGGTGGCGGCCGCCATTAGTGAGGCAGGAAGTCCGTACAGCAAGGGTGTAAAGTTCCGCGAGACCAGGCAACCTCGCGAGAGTGCGCCGTTGCCGTTATGTAGGCGCTGGTACGCTGGAGTCCTCCATTCCTGAGGCAGGAAGTTTGTACAGCGCAGTCATAAAGTCTCAGGAGTGCAGGCGACCTCGGGGGAGTTAACCGTTGTGGAGGCATTCATTGCCCTGGAGGTCGCTTGTACTGCCTGTCCCCCGTGAACACTGCAGCGAGGATGGGACAGGTCGTCTTTACTGAGGTCACTGGTTACTGGTTACTGGTTCCTAGTTACCGGTGTACTGGTAACCAGTGTACTAGGTTAAGGATGAACACTTACTAGTTTCTAGGTCACTATTTAGCAGGTACTGGTTGCCAGGTCAGTAGGTTCAAAAGGTTCCTAGTTGCCAGTTAGTAAGTTACTAGGTACTGATTTTCTAGTTATTAGCTACTAGGTTGCTTGAAAGTATTTACTAGGCTAATTGTTACTGGTTCATATGTTCATGGTTACCAGTGTCCAGGTGACTGTTTCCCATTTGTTTCGGTTAAGTATTCCATGTCTGCACGTCTATACTTATGACAAACCTTTCAAGAAGCTGTCAGGCAATTCCTTTGGGAAAAGTATCCTCCTGCTGCCCTCTTGTGGCCTTTTAAAGAATAACACCTTCATCTTTTGTCCGTGGTGCTGAAATGTTAGCTAATATTCTTTGAATTTGATGAAGACTTGTATCCCAAAAACCACAACCAGCCCTGACCGGTTGACTGAGTGGAGAGCGTCGGTCTGCGGACTGAAGGGTCCCTGGTTCGATTCCAGTGAGGGGCACTGTAGCGGTCAAGCGGAATGAAGTTAACTAGAAGAAGGCGTTCTGCCAGGAAAAGGCGGGAGCCTGCAAGCAGGCCACGTCAGAACAAAGTCTTGCAAGCAAGACTTATTGTTCAGAGGCAGAACTTTCCTTGAGGTGATAAATAGTCCATGAGGGCATGGAAAGTTCAAGGGAGGGTGCACTGTCGCGGGTGGAAAGAGTGTTTGTATAACATAGTAAATTTATAGTGTCATGTATAACTTAGCTTTGATGATCTCATAAGCATGCCTGTTCATCATTGTCACTTGCTGTACTCCATTGTTATTTGCTGTACTCACTGAATAAAAGCCATGAGGGCTTTGGGGGCCTTTGCTAATCTCCTGAGCGAGCGGTAGCCTTCTGCTTCTCTGTATCCTGCACGTCCGGTTCATCTCAGCGTCACCGTTCACAAAGAACATCAACAGGCATGTACCTTGGTTGCGGGCCCATCCCCAGTAGGGGGTGTGCAGGAGGCAGCTGATGGATGTTTGTTTCTCTGTGATGGATGTTTGTCTGTCTATCCCTCTCCCTTCCTCTGTGTAAAAAAAATCAATAAAAATATTTTTAAGAAAATGCAAAGAAATCAACAAAGAAAGACCACAGAAAACCATAGAAAATGATGGAGGCTGTTCAGGGTGCAATTATTTTTCCCTGGATGGACTGAAGTCAAGGGTCTGGATTTTGCACCTGTTCGGGTCCCATCCCTGGAAAGGGAGGCCTTGACTGCTGCAGTGACATGGGGAAGCTGTGCGTTCAGTATGTCAGTCTGTAACCTAGAGGCTGCCATTATTGAAGCAGTCATTCTGGGGAGGCCACCATTCCCAAGGCAGCCAGTACTGGACAGGTCACCTTTCCTGATGCAGCCAGTCAGCCGGAGGCTGTTGTGATTTTGGCAGCCAGTCCCTTGGATGACCCCATTATGGAGGCAGCCAGACTGTGCAGCGAGGTGCAGGGGTATCGGGAGAATGTGTTATTCCTGCTCGATTCAGCGGCCCCTGGAGAGGCCTTGTTTACTGAGGCAGCCAGTCCCCTTGAGGCTGCAATGATGGATGCAATGAGTAGCCTAGAGGTGGGCATTCCTGAGGCAGTCCTTCCGCTGTAGCTGCTATTATTGATGCCATCAGTAGCAGGGAGGCTGTGATTGTTGATGGCACCAGCGAGCCCTTTAAGGCAAGCATGTCAAACTCATGGCCGGCGACCGCATTGCTTGTTTACCCGCCTGCGGGGAGTTTAAAATGCTTTAAGGGCTCCTTCCTTCTCAGGTCTCAGTCTTCAGTCCTCTGAGAAAAGTTCCCTCCCCTTCCAGTCTGGTCCATCTCTGCTGATGGGGATTCTTTGTCATCTACCAGGATCTTTATACTTCTTAAAAAATATTTTATTGGTTTCAGAGAGGAAGGGAGAGGGAGAGAGAGATGGAAACATCCATTATGAGAGAGAATCATGGATCAGTTGCCTCCCGTCCCCCTCCCCCCACTGGGGATCGAGCCCGTAAACAGGGCATGTGCCCTGATTGGGAATCGAACCAGGGACCTTTTAGTTTGCAGGCCGTCGCTCTACCCAGTGAGCGACATGGTCAGGGCTACAGTGTGTTTTTTAGCAATATTTGTTTGTCCTATTTTCGAAAAGAAGAGAGAAGCATGAATGATGAGTGATGATCGTCGATTGGCTGTGTTCCTTGTGCAAGAAGAAAGAGTGACATGTGTTGTCATGTGCTAAGTGGAAGGAATAGGCCCTGGCCAGTGTTGCTCGGCGGTTAGCCATTCGGATGGCCAGGGAAGGGTCGCTGTCGGGATTCTTGGTCCAGAGCACATACGTGGGATGCATGTTTCATCGCCTGCCCCGGTCTGGGCTCCTGTGGGAGCCAAAGATGCATGTGTCTGTTGCATACTCGTGTTTGCTTGTTTGTTTTCTCTTTTTCTCCTCCCGCTCCCTCCCTTCCACGCTCTCTAAGAAAATGAATGGTGAAAATATCTCCTCTGTAAAGAATTAAGCAAAACATACACACGAAAAAAGTACAAAGAATGAAAAGATTTGGAGGGTGTGAAAAAGTACCATATCCGGAAAGAAAGGCACCATGATGAGCAAAGCATTCAGCTCCGCTGATGTTTTTCCACACAATGTGTGTATAAGATAAAAATAAAATGTTCAAGTGTCCCTCAGCTGCCAAATTTCTGACACAAGATGATGAAGTCACTGTAGCAGGGTCCTTGCAGGGTCTCCCAAGCGAAATGGACAGAGGAGAGTCCTGCCGGTGTTCCGGTCTACTGCGTGGTGTTGCTGCTCCCAGAGTCCATCCCCACTGAAAAGATGCGAGCAGACTGAGCTGGTGTCGGTGACCGAGGGACACCGAGACCTAGGGACACATGGACCGAGGGCCAGACACACCATGGAAGCCGCAGTGGCCTGGAGAGGTGACATCCGAGAACGTGTGGCCAGTGTGCTGGTTCCTCGTATCGTTCCGGAGGTACCTTGTCATTTTTTTTTTTACTCCAGAACCATGTATTTCATTTCCCCCCACACACAGCCCCTACTTGATGGTGACTCTGTCTAAGACACAAGACCTGTTTGGACATCCATGTACAGAACAGTTGTTTGGAAAGTGGTGTCCAACTTGTTTTATGTAGTTATCATCTGCCAAATCAATGAGAGTGAAGCAGTTATGTGTTTGATGTATTATACATTTGTATTCTAGATAGATTTTATTTTAGAAAATGACATTTCTTGTACCAAGCTGCCTTTGTAAGTGTCATTGAATGAGCATGTTCAAAACTTGGTAAGTGTGGATGTTTTACTTGGCAAATGTTTAGAAACTTGGTCAGTACGAGTGTGTATTGTGGCCCACTGAACTGTCGGAGGTCACGTGTTGTGAGCCAAGCCAAATCTTTGGGAGCTCAATGACTGTCCAGGTTGTTGAGACAGCCTGCATGGTTTTACCTTTATTCTATGTTATGAAGCAATAGGCAGAAGGTAGAAGTAGAGTTGTGCCGGGGTCCAGGCCCAGTGGTGCAGGGGTCTGCCAAGGTGTGGACGGCATGGTAGAAGAATGAAGGGCACGGAGACAGCGTTGAGCTGATCAGCATCATCAGGTTCTGTGTTTATTGCCCTGTTCCAAGTGTGTTTATAGTCTTTGATTCTATAAGCATGCATCCATAGTTCCTTCACGGTATGTTTTGTCTCCTCCTTTGACCTGTTAAAGTTTCTTGTTTTACGTTTCCAGTTTCTTATCTGACCTTTGCCAAAAATCTCCTTTCTGTTTAGCTCTGCTGATTTTAATCTTATTTATTGTCTATATTTGTACATTCTATTGTAAAGGTTAGTGTCTGTGTTCCATGATCAGAGCTAGTTTGTTATTTGTATTGTATGGTTCCTATTGTATTGCTCCACTGTGAAGGTATAAGGCCAAACCGGAAGGAGGTTTTCCTATTGTATGTCGTAAGTCCAGGTTGTGTAGCTTCAGCATGATTGTTGTTAGGTATGGTGATGAACGACCTGCCTGGTAGTTTGTTGAAGTGTTTGTGGTTGCCTAGGTGGCCTAAGATTTTTAGATAAGGAGGCTGCGTGCATTGTTTGCAGCATTATTTCTTGAAGTGATAGTTTTCCTTTTAGGCTTTGTGGTGGTCTTCCTTGGGACTGGCCTGCGTTGTCGGTTTTTTGGGGGTGTAGGCTTTGGTCGTTTCTCTGGTGGGTAGACCCCTGAGCATGTAGGCCTAGCGAGTGCTAAATGTCTTGGCAAGAGTCTTTGTCTGATTTCCTCAGAAGTGGCATAGTGTATTTCTGTCCCATGAGGCGGTTGTAGTGAATTTCTTCCCTTCTGTAGTCCCATTCATCCCTAATTGTAGGGGAACATACCCAGCTGGGGAAACCACCTTTCCCTTGAAGGTGGCCGTGGTCAGAACACATAGCACTAAGAAGGGGAGCAAACCTATCGAAAACAGTGTGCCCTAGACGCCAGGTCCCTTGGGACATCTGCTGTGCAGATTTTTTTTTTCCCTGCGGTGAGTGTGTGAAGCAGCAAGAATGGCACGGCTTGCGGCAGACTTGTAGTGATGCAACCCCTGTCATTTGCTGTGCTGATGGAAACAGGGCAGGGTTGATGCTGAAAGCAACCTTAGAACACAGCAATGTAAAGGTTGTCATCACCGTAGCATGTCATGTCCCCAGCCAGGGCCATATTGTGTTTGTAGTCAAGAGGTCATGCAAATATCAACACACAGGTCATCGAGGGAGGGTCAATGATTGAGTGTTGAGGCATGAAGCAAGAAGTGCCCCTGATTCCTGGTAAGGGCATGCCTATGAGGTGATTGATTTTTTGTCTGTCACATGGATGTTTCTCTTTCTCTCCGTCTCCCTCCATGTCCGTCTCCCTGTGTGTCTCAGATCTATAAGAAATTCAAAGTAAAAGTGGAAAGTGTCGATTTTCCTCGTAGTCTCCCCGCCCAAACGGTACTGATTTTAGTGCAACCACCCACCCTTTTTGTTTGTTAGTTATAGTGAGAATTGTATTTCGTGAATGTTCCCACTATGTCCCGTGCAAACCTGTGTGCAAACCTGTCTGCACACATCCACAGAACGAGCTGAGCATCCCATCCTGTAGAATTTTCCATTTCCTTGCAAAGGAAGTGAGATTCCTGCCATTGTAAATGGAAAGAGATGGTAGAAAAAGCTGTGCATGAAGATGATGGCTAATGATTGTGAGGTGGAAAAGATGTATTTAAGAAATGAAGGCGTGCTGATTGCAAGCAGATCCTGTATGTGTAGGTTTGGGGCCGGGGGGCAGCAGCATTTGCGATGTGAATGAGGACTTGATTGTGCAAAGCTTTTGTTGACCCCTGAGAGCTAGTCAGCAGAGGCGGTGAGCCACTTGGCAATGTGTGGTCTTCCAAGGCGAGGCTGGGGGGGGGGTTGCCCTTTGTGATGTGGGCAAGAGAGCCCAGCTGCCACCGTGCACAGGAGGCCCCTGCCTGTGGGTCATGAGTCAGGGCTGGCTCCTCCATTTCGCAAACATAGTGAAAAGAAGAAGAGCTAGTATGTCCCCATGTTGTGATTGTGAAAGATGTGTTGTGTTTCCTCAGTTTATTTGACACCCATTTGCTGAGTTTGGCTTTGGAAGTGTGCTGGCTTGAGAAAGTTGCTGAATGAATCAGGGGTTTCTGCTGCTTCTAAAAGTTTCCTTTAGTATTGATGTTCTTGGTGAACGGAGATGCACAGCAAACAACAATGGAGTACAGCAAGTGACAATGATTAACAAGCATGCTTATGAGATCATCTGAGCTAAGTTATACACGACAGTATTAATTTCCTATGATATACAAAGATTATTTCCACCTGCAGCAGTGCACCCTCCGTTGAACTTTCCATGCCCTCATGGACTATTTATCATGCCAAGGAAAGTCCTGCCTCTGAACAATAAGTCTTGCTTGCAAGACTTTGTTCTGACGTGGCCTACTTGTAGGCCCCTGGCTTTTCCTGGCAGAGCGTCCTCTTCTAGTTGACTTCCTTCCACTTGTCCAGCTACATTGTCCCCCATGTGTTCCTAAGATATGTGCGTGGCGATAGGTGGTTTTAGGAGGGGAATGTGATCCTGAAGGAAGGTGTCAGGTTGAGGTGTGAAGGCTGTCCACAGGAGCCTGTGGAGCCCCCCTGAAGCATTGATGTTATATAGAAAGTGTTGTTTGCAATGTGAAGCCTGGTATTTGTGGCTTATGTCAATGCTTGCTGGGTTCAATAATAAGGAAAATAAGACTACTCCCATTTCAGAGAGGTCATTCATCGTTCTCCAGACGAAGTTATCAGTGCTGGTGTGAGGCCAAGTCTTGGGTCGAAGTCTCAAAGTGTGAGCACCTAGGGCCCTTGAAGAACTTGCCAAGAGCCTCGGAAAAAGCCCCTATTGGGGAGAGAAAGAGGGTAAGATAGTGTAAATATGGGAAAGTTTGTGTGCGATTTGAGGCCGAATTTGAGAGACATTTTCCTGTGGGCCTGTGCCTAATGAATGTAAGTCCATTTGTGTAATTGTTGCTTAGTTCTTTTCTTTCTTTCTTTCTTTTTTTTTTGTCACAGAACAGCCTAGAAGTTTTGCTTCCGGAGGCGAGGCGGCCTGTACGGGGCAGGTGGCATTTACTGAGGAAGCCAGCGG